GGAGATTTACCGCTGATTACAGAACCAGCTTTACTGATAAGATGCGCGTTAAATATCGCATGCGATTTATCGTGCAGCCCTAGTAAAAATCTATTTAAACTTATTGGAAAAGATTCATTTCTGTCACTGCTGTGAACTGACCACCACACAGAATATGAATATTAAAAATTTTAGGAGTCAGCTGTCCACTGTAGTCCTTAAGATATCAGCACAGTAACACTCAGTCAAATTATTGTTATCGTTAAAATCCCAGAAAATATCGAGATATAATTTTTTGTCAATATCGCACACCCCTAGCTGCCAGCCGTTCGGTGCAACTGGCAGAGCTGAATGTAAAATTTAACACCGCATACACCATCCTAACCCTCGCCAAAGAAGAGCTTAACTTTAGGTTGATTACAAAAGAAATCTGTCAGTGTTCTTTTCATTTTCTCTCTTCTTCAGCCCTTTCTTTTTCTCGGTAGTTAGCGGAAAGCAGTGACTGAGAGATTGACAGCTAATATTAACCAATACAAAATCTGCATTAAAGTTAAGAATGTAAGGATAAAATCTGTTAATATATAATTTGTAGTTGTGATGCTCATACATTTTTGGTGAGTGCTCCTAAATTTTTGGTGGTGCTCCTAACTTTTTGAAGTTGGGAGCACCAGTGCTACCAAGTAAAAAAGTTAATTTCGAGCCGTGACTTGTAACTTTAGCTGTTATGTATCTTTGTAAGTCATTGTAAGCCCACAAGCGCACGAACAGCCTCTTCTCACCTTTAGTGTACTCCTGTCTTTCTCAGAGAGCTGGTTTTGGGAGAGATACACACTGTTTTCTCTTCCACCCCTTAATTGCAGGGCACCGCGAAGGCGAAATCTGGGGACATCATCTGAAACAAAGACAAACAGTGACCAAACTGTAAAGAGACACACTAATTATTAATCAAGTAAGTTACCTTAATACTCACCCACTTCAAATGAGTGCTCTAGTGGCACAGAGAATCCGCTAAAATCGGTATCCACCGCATCTCCTGACTGGCAGACAAAAACATTCACAATCAGTCATTGTCGTACGTTCATTCAGATCAGACAGCAGCATGCTAGCATGCTAACAAGCTCCCTACGCAAGACAGCAAATAAACGTACAATACACATCACGTGACTGTGAGGTTTCACAGATGTATTGTACTTACTCTTCGACCATTATTGCATTCGCCAGATTGTGTCCATAACAGCGTTACAGTTGACAGGACGGACAAAATAAGCGACAAGATTCTTATCGTGGCCATCTTGTCGCAAGCCTTGAAAGACTTCCCCTCTGTGTGCCGGAAGTACAGCGTTTCAAAACAAAAGTCGTAGAAAACATTAAAAACGCCGATCGAAGCACACTTTACGCCGTTCACTCATGCATTGCAGATTAAATATTATATTAATGCGGTATTTTTAATCATTAATATATCTTCCTGATAATTGTGCTTTGTTTCCTTTAACCATTAGAATGAACTAACGTTAGAGAAATGTTGCCACTTGCCAGGTCTCGCTACAAAAACAAATCCTGCTGCTCTGACACAAGCCCCAACAATTTGCCTTCCCCGAAAGAATACTTATATTTTTAGCACTCGATCGCTGTTATATTTGAACTATTTTCATCATTCTTCAAGCAAAACGGCTTGCACCAAATATAGGACGTTGGCTGAAAGAAATGGCAACAAATATGTCAATGGAAAAGATAACATATATTAAGAGATAAATACCATTTTGAGAGTTTGAGGACCTTTCAAACTGTTTTAAAAACGTGGTGGAGTTGGAAATATGTTGATAAAAGACTAGGAAAAAAAGGTATTTTATTCCATGATCGTTTTAAAAAGATAACCCCCCCTGTGTGTGTGTATATCTTGTTCTCTCTGTTACATGGAATTTTATATGTACATTTGTATAGTTAAAATACAATAAAAAGATAGAAAAAAACGGATTTCATTAACTTTATTTTAAGGTGTCCTTGTTGCACGTTACATGTACTTACTATTATAATAACAATAAATTATGCATAATTACATGCAAGTAACCCTAAGCCAAACCCTTATCCTAACCCAAACCATATAGTAAGTAGGCTACATGTAGTTAGTGAATATTACTCAGTACTTAAATGTATAATAACACTGTAACAAGGACACTAAAATAAAAAGTGTAACCCTGCAACCCTCTGAAGTATAGTAAAATAAAGTACAACATACAAATGCAAGCACTTTTCTGTAGAAGCTCAAATACGCTGAGACGAAGCGGACCTGGCAACACTGCGCGCAGAGCTGCGGTTGTTTGTGTTGTGGAGCGCTAGAGGGCGCTGTGCGCAGCAGAGCGCATGCAGGCAGATTGAAAGCGGCTCAGAACCTCGCTTTTCTCGCCGGGCGCAGTGGCGTGCGCCTGTAATCCAAGCTGCTGGGAGGCTAAGGCTGGCGGACCGCTTGAGCTCAGGGGTTCTGGGCTGCAGTGGACTATGCCGATCGGGTGTCCGCACTAAGTTCGGTATCGATATGGTGCTCCTGGGGGAGCTCGGGACCACCAGGTCGTCTAAGGAGGGGTGAACCGGCCCAGGTCGGAGACGGAGCAGGTCAAAGCCCCCGTGTCGATCAGTAGTGGGTTCGCGCCTGTGAATAGACACTGCAGTGCAGCCTGAG